AAAAAAAAAAAAAAATTAAATGTCTCTGGAAATTACCATTATTCCACTTTCCCAAAAGTGTCCAAGTTGTGGCCCTCACACAGTCTCAATAGGAGTCTCTTTCCTGGTCGTCCTCTCTGCTTTCAGTTTTTCCTCCCTTCAAATCATCCTATGGACAACTAGCATACTAATTTTCCCAAAACACTTTTATTATGTCACCAACCTGGTTCAAGAAACTATGATTAATCCTGCTTGTAACAAGTTCAAATCTTCAACATTGGTCCTAACTTTTCTCCATTATTATATGAACACCTAGTCAGTTTGGCTTTCTTTGTACTTTGTGCTTCCATGTGGCCTCTCCACCAGTTACTTCTCCCAGTTCCAGGGCTTTGCTTATGCTAACCCTCCCCTCACCCAAACGCTTTTCCCTTTTTCCCTATCTAATGACTCTATCAATGCTTCAATGTCTTGTTTAAGTTCTCTGCTTTCCATCCTCAGCACTCTGATGCCTGCTCTGAAAATTCCGAGCCATAATTTCTTCTTTCTCTAAACTCTTACATCTAAATAACATAGTTTATCATACTTACACACACACATATGTTCTAACAAGACTGCAAGCCACTTGAAGACAAGGACTTCTTTTAAGCCACTCGAGAAGAGGGACTTATTTGTATCTCCTACAGTATCATGCTGGGCATATATTAACCTACTGCCATCAAGTTGATTCTGTCCAATTCATAATAACCCCACAGACAGAGAACTGCCTCATAGGGTCAATCTATCTTTCTCCTGCAGAGCAGCTCATGGGTTCAAACAAGTGACTTTTTGGTTACCAGCGGAGTAGTTAACCACTGTGCCACCAGGGCTCCTTTGGGCACATATTAGGTGATCAATAAATACATGTTTGTTGTGATTGGTTTACTAGCTAAAAATAAATCATTTTTCTAGATTACTGTTACTATCCAAAAGGAGTTATCATGAACCTCTCCCTCAGAGCACAAAACAGAAAGTCAGACAGCCAATCGCCAACCCCTAAGGCAAGCACATCCTCACTCAAGGCTCAGTAAAAACAGAAGTTTTCCTTAAACTAGACACAGCCTCTCTCCCCTGAGCAGAGCATCCTGGCCTAGGAATAATGGAAGAAGAACTAACCTGCTCCCAGGGTGACAAAGCACAACTGATCCCACCTAACACACCCACCTTCAACTCATTTTGGAGAACCAGCTCCTTGAGATTTTCATCCTTTTCTTCATTCAATGAACTGAAGTTCCTCTGCACAGAGAGAGACAGGGGGAGAGAGAGGTGCTTTGATATTTTATTGGTCTGCCATTCAGGTGAGTCCCACCCTTACTCTTGTGAAGGAAGATAAGGGGCAGATAAAGGAATTTATCAGTAAAATCAGAAATACTCAGAAGCCTAAGTATTTAAACTCATTTTGGTTCTAGGCAGGAGAATTCAAATAAATTTTTCTGGAGGGCCTGATTCCATATCTACCCCCACATAAAGCAACACCAATTCAGACAAATGTCCTTTGGACAACAGAGATATAGCAGGGAGGGGATGCCCACACCACCTGGAACTGTTGTTGAGACTTGAGTAGAGTCGGACCTGGCTCATAGCGACCCCTCCTTGAGTTTTTGAGGCAGTATCACTACAGAAGTAAATTGTCCAACCTTCCTTCCGAGGAGAGGAGCGGCTACAGAGTAATAAAGTCCCCTCCTGTCTGTGCTCCAGCCTCTGCTCCACTACTGTCACTCATGCGAGCACCCAGAATGCAGCAAGGGCCCAGAATCTATGCAGAGGAACAGACCTTCCTAAACCAACTCTTCAAGGGTTCAGGAGGAGAACCCTATTTAAGCATGGAAAGGTTCTGAATGCCTACACACCAGTTCAAAACTCAGCAGCATGGCTTTCAATCTTTCAATCTCCTCTCTGAGTTCTCTGATCAGCTTTACATTTGCATCCTGAAACATAGAGAACTTAGTCACCATTAATCGATAACAGGTCCCCACACTTCCCCCATTTAGCTGCAATTTATATGCAGGCACTTTGGAAGAAGTACATTACTAGAGCAGAGGTCTTCTAGGAGTAGTCTCAGGACCAGCTGCATCAACTCTATCAAAGAACTCATCAGAAATGCAAATTCTCTGGCTCCATCACAGACCTATTAAATCAGAAACTCTGGGAAGGAGGGCCCAGAAATCTATAGTTGAATAAATCCTGCATTCAATTCTGACATACACTAAAGTTTGAGAATCTCTGCCCTAGAGTAGGAGGCCCGACAGGTAACAAAGATGCCAGGGAAGAGATAGGTAGTAAGCAAGCTTCCTATAGACTAGGGCTTAGAACTGGTTCATTCCGGTTTGACTCCTCTGCTGAGAATTTGCATTTCCACCCAAGGATACTGAATCAGAATTGTTAAAATGACTATACTTAGCACCCGCTCTTACAATGTCTTTTTAAAAAGTCTGTAGATGAGCTATTATTTCTGGCCAGCAGTTTGTGACCCCTGCCCTGGAATTTTTTTGCTGAAATTGCCAAGGAAATAAGGAGCATGTGAAATACTCTCATTATGATTCAGCTTTCAAAATTAATGAATTCCTTATTTTCCTTTTCTTGCCAAAACAAGAGTCACTGCAATTTGCATAGAGAAATAAAACAAAGGCAGAAATCAACATAAATTCAAAATAAGAGTCATATATGTAGAAACTTTTAAATGGCTTTTCTTAGAATAGCAATGGCACACCAGGGATCTTTAAAGGAACTGTCTTAGAGAAGTCACTAAAATAAATTATTCATAAAAAGTACTGGATAAAGTCAGCAGAGATGAGAGAAGGGTATGACATTGGAAGAAAGAATTTCACTTCATCATCATTTGCAAAAGAAATCTGGCACTGCAGTAACTACAAAATCGAAAGAAATCAATGGGTGGGAAAAAAAAAAATAGAGCTTTGTGTAACTGATACCAGACCAGGATTTCAGATGAGTGTCTCACCTCATTCACCCGTGGCTTGTTGATGATGTTTTTGGCATTGGATGCGTATCTCAGTGTGCTCATGGTCTCATTGTAGCTGGTGTGTGCAGGAGACACAGCTGAGGTAGAAAGGAAGAATTAAAAACAAGTGTCAAGCCCTTCCAACCCAGCCCTTAATCACTCCTCTAGCTTCTACAAGCCCATGTTCTATGTGAGACCCTTGGTGGCATGAAGAACCCTAGTAGTCAAAATTTTTTCTCTGAGGCAGAGTACCAGTTCCAACATAGAACCACCTTCAGCCCCTCACTCACTGGCAACCATAATGGTTTTGGAGTTGCCTCCAAGACTGTCCTTCAGCAGCCAGGTCAACACAGAGTCCCGGTATGGGATGTAAGACTGCCTCCGAGAGGGTCCCCCTCCACCACTGGTCCCAGAAGGAGAGCTAGGGATCCCACTGTCACCACCATCGCTGGCTGCACTGCTGAGGCTCTGGCAGCTGCTGAATATTTGGGAGTTCTGGGCTTGAAAGACAAAAAATAAAAGTAGAAGAAGGAAGGAATTTTGAAGCAAATGCATTCCAAGTACATTCAAACAATATAGTAGTTGGAGAACATAGACTGAAGCATCCCACTTTCTAATCTTTTTCTGCACATAATAAAGCCAAAAACCCACTGCCATCAAGTTGATTCTGACTCAGAGCAACTCTATAGGACAGAGAATAACTCATAGGGTTTCCAAGGCTGTAAAACTTTACAGAAGCAGACTGACTCTTCACCCATGGATCAGCTGGTGAGTTTGAACCATGGACCTTTTGGTTAGCAGCCCAATGCTTGAAACCGTAGCACCACTAGAACTCCTTTTTTCTGTACATGATAGGATGCTTTATGCTTTAAAATTGAGCCCTGAATTAGATTTTGGTCTCTTGACATCAAGTGTTTGAGCCATATAATTTTCTGTCTTCCAACTTTTTGAAATGATAGTGCTAGGGTGATGGTCATATTATACTCTAACCCAGAGGCAAATAATTTTCATGCTCCCCCCAAATAAGGTAACCTTAAGAAAAATAACCTTGTACTGTCCACCTCCATTTCAACAAAATAAAAATCTTCTAGTTATTTTCCCAAGTCTCCCTCCCATTCCTATGACCCAGTCTATCATCACGATACCTAAGGTGGAGATGACAATTCCCAGAGTCACAAGGGACTTGTTGATATTGGCTCCTTCAGTAATCCGGTCTTTACAGTAACTGGGATCTGCTCTTTCACTATAAAAGTCAATGAAAACAAAAAAAGCATACAAGGCTGCACCATCCTTATCATTGAAAATACTATCCATTATCTTGTACATCATGTTTGTAAAAGGCCCACATAATAAATAAATTCCTTTTAGAATTCAGTCTCAGGAAAAATGTTACAATTTTGTAATGAGCCAGCATGCTTTTGTTTCTCAGGCAATAAAAATCAAGTAAAATTCATTACATTTCTGTTTCTGTTTTGTCTGCTAGAACACTTTAAGCTAAATGTAATGCTCATTTACAATAATGGTATCAACATACCAAAAAAACCAAAGTCACTGCCATCAACTCGATTCCAACTCATAGTGTCCCTTTAAGGACAGAGTAGAATTGCCCCATAGGGTTTCCAAGCCTATAAATCTTTATGGAAGAAGACTGCCTCATCTTTCTCCTGGAATGGCTGGTAGGTTTGAACCGCTGATCTTTTGGTTAGCAGCTGAATATTTTAACCACTGTGCCACCAGATTACCTTGATATTAACATAGGTTTTAGTATATTTACTTTCTGTTTATCTTTATTATTTTAAATTCAAACATTAATGTCCTTACAGTACTCATCTGTTATTGTTAACCATTTCAAATTCATTTAATAGGAAATACTAAAAAGTCACACCTTAGCCTGACTGATACAGTTTCTTGCAGACAGCACTTAGTTCTTATGAGTTGCTGTACTACATTATTTGCTGTTGCTGTTATGTGCGGTCAAGACAGACCTGCCTCATAGCAACCCCTCCTTGGGTTTCCGAGGCAGTATCACTACGGAAGTAGATTGCTCAACCTTCCTTCTGAGGAGTGGCTGGTGGGTTTGAACTACCAGCCTTCTGGTTAGCAGTCAAGTGCCTTAGGCACTATGCTAAATTTACCTTATTTCATCTTAGACTTTCTTCTTTCTGCATATATGTATGTGTTTGTACGTAGCTATAATTTACGCTTTCCTCTAATTCTTAAAAGGCAGTATCTTTCCCCCTATTCTCACAATAGTAAACAATTTTTTTTAACATGTAGAGCTGCATAAAATATACATTAAATCAAAGAAAGAGGGTATGCTTCCACTTAGAGTAGTGGTTTTCACCCTGTCCTATACACTGCAATCACCTGGACAGCTTTAAAAAAAAAAAAAAAAAACACTTATGCTGCTTATATTTCTCTCTCCCTACACAACCAATCATATGATTTACTTGACCTGGGGTATAAGTGAGACACTGGAACTTTTAAAACGTCCCCAAGTGATTTTAGTGAGCAACTAAGATTGAGAATCCCTGACTTCAAGGAACTGTTCAGCCTGAAAACTATAACTTCTTATTTAGCATTCAAAGAACTAATTTCTTTTGCAATTTTCTCAGGATAACTGAAATGTGAAAAAGATGGGACAAGCATATTCCCTGTACAAAAGGCAAGAACAAAAGTGAGTGTCAAGGGAATAATTCCCCTTGGCTTTGAAATCCTAATTACCTGCCTGCTAGATCCACAAGGTTGATCTTGCTAGCAATTTCAGAGGGGAGGTTGTTCTCCAGGATTGCCTAAGGGAGAAAATTTGTAATTTATCATATGGAATTTGTTGGGTTGTATTTTTTCCCCCCTTAGACACTTTCCTAACCATGGTGATATTTTGGATTTTTACCCAACTCACTTAAGAAATCTACATGGACAACCTAACTGTTGAGCTGGTCTTAAGCCAGTTAAGACTTCTTTCTGCTGATAGATCTGTGTGTGGGCTGGGGAATGCATTAAAAGTTCAGGCCATTTTAAAGTCTGTCCTTGCATTCACAGGGCCCTCTTGTGTCTCCTCTGTATATATACGCAGGTTCTGTCAGTCAGGGCTGTGGGACTACTTGGTCTCTGATGCACATGCTCACAGCTTCCAGCCAACCCAGGATATGCAGGGATTTTATTAAGGAATTAGTAGTATTGTTGTTTTTGTTGTGGTGGTGACAGCCTTGTGTCTGTATCACCTCCCAGAATGCCCTATTAAATTCCTGATGGTCTGCCAGTCAGTATCTTGCCTAAAACCCACAATCTCAGACTAGTGGAGCCATTGCCGCCCCACTCCCTTGTTCACTTGTCACCAAGGTCAACACTTTAACTGACAATGTTTCAAATCAAATGAGCCCCTCTGGTAGTGGTAGATTTTCATAGCCTGCCTTGCCCTGACTAAACTACACCATGGACAGAGAGAGGTAGGGGTACAAGTGGGGGTGGGATCAGCCCAAGGCAAGAACACAGTGCATTTGCACTGCTCTTAACCAAAATTTAGTAGTTTTCTTAAATAAACATCTTTGTTTGTTACATGTCTTTGGTTTACTTCCAGAGCATAGAAATGGTTCTTTTTGACAGTTTCATCCAGCTTTATTGTTGCTTTTGGGGACAGTATTGGTCCACCTCTTCACTCCATTATAATGGAAGTACATCTCCTACTTTTTAATTGTAATGTTTATTTTTCATTTCAACCTTGTGTTTTATTTTCAGGTGCCCATACTGATCACATAAAAGATGTTGAAAGTAAAATATAAGATATTTTGATTGGTTTTTATGAAACATCTCTTCTCTCTCTGGGTGGTGTAGCTTTATCGATTGCATGTGGGTCCTCTCTATGATACTATGTTATACCAGAGGAGCTGTTAACAGAAGGGTGAGAGGAAAGGAAAAGAAATAGGGAAAAAAATAAGCTGTCAAAAAGGAAAAGAGAGGAACCAGGTTTGCTGGTCTGACAGAGCCTGGTGGAACCACTGAGACTATGGTCCCTAGCTGCCCTTCAGGTCTGGAATTGAACCCATACCTGTGACTTCCAACCAAACAAAAGACAGGTACATGAGTTGAACATGTACCTGAGGTAGATACACTCCTTGGAGAGAACAATCATGGGAGAAAGAAGAGCTGTTTATGCACAGGGAGACAGTTCAGGGGGCAGGGTTACACGGAGGGAAGGACACAGGGAAGAGGTAACTATCAGGAGGAAGTGGGAAGGGAGCTGTTGCATTGTGGTAAATTGTAGTTAATGTCATGACACAACGCATGTGTAGGCTGCTCTGTAATATGCTCTGTAAACTTTCATCCAAATCACAATTTAAAAAAAAAAAAAAGGAAAAGAGAGGAAGAAGTCTCATCAAATACAAGACGTAACCAACCTGTGTGTAGTAGATAGTGAAGATGGCATGAGATCGGCTGCTGGCCTCATGAACTTGGGTGGCTGCTGTGATTCTGTGTATATAAAGGGAGAAGCACAAAGGCAGTTCATGCACAGTGAATTCTTAAGGATCCACAGGAAACACAAGAAATGTTAGTGTTGAGGTTCACAGATGAGAATAATAAAGGATTTTTGGTCTAGTACAGTTAGGTCCAAAGAGGCAGAAATAGCCCTCTATGTGCTGATATCTAGAAAAAAAGGTAGTATAGCTTCATATTAAACCATGTTAGAAAACTGTTTGTTTGTTTTTTAAAAAAAGCAATCAAGAGTGAAAAGAGGAATAGTAGAGTGTCATCAACCTGAAAAAATATCCCCCAAGACAGATCATTAGTAGACAGCTTGCTGGAGAAGCCTCAAAGACAGAGAAAGTAAGCTGTGATTTAACATAGGCCTTTGAAAGGGCATGTTGAATTATGTCAACATCATGCAAATCAAATGGAATCAATAGTTTCCCTTAGGAACCCATTCCAGTGTTAACTCTTAAGCCAGGAGAATTTTCCCTTTATCTAACTCTAAGTCAATCATGCTTCAGTTTAAAACAATCTCATTGACTTCTGTTCTCAGAGGAGTTGAAGAACTGAAGGGCCAAAATCTAGATGCTAGGCTCATGATTCAAGGATAAAGAGGAAAGTTGAGGCCTCATACTTGAAAAGATCAAGAAACCAAGGTATCCTGAAGACCAGAAGAGCCTCCAGGATATTTTCCAGTAAGCCCCAGGAGTAGAACATTAAGTTTTTCCTGTATGTCCAATTAACTTGCACCTACTATTAGTAGGGTAAATAAAAACCAACAACAACAACAAAAAAAAAACAACCAATTTCACTGCCAGTCAATTCGACTCATAGTGACCCCTCCTTGGGTTTCCAAGACAGTATCTCTACAGAAGTAGATTGCCCAATCTTCCTCCCAAGGAGTGGCTGTTGGCTTTGAACTGCCAACCATCTGGTTGGCAGACAAATGCCTTAGGCACTACGCCACCAGAGCTTCCAGTAGGGTAAATACTCACTGCCATCAAGTTGGATCCAACTCATAGCGACCCCTCCTTGGCTTTCCAAGGTGGTATCACTATGGAAGTAGATTGCCCAATTTTCCTTCCAAGGAGTAGCTGGTGGGTTTGAACCACCAGCCATCTGGTTAGCAGTCAAATGCCTTAGGCACTAAGCTACCAGAGCTCCTACTAGGGCAAATAGAAAACTCTAAATACTTCTCTTTAGAATAGAGCATTTTTTCAGTATTTACTAATAATATGCTGAGTGTGCTATAGTAACTAAAAATATGCAGTGTTACTATAATTTACAGTAACTTTCAGGGACATCTACAGCATTTAACTATTCAAAGTATATTCAAAAGATAGTCTCTTGCGGGTAGAAGAAAATTATTTTTCTGAAAACATTTTATACTGTACTGGCATTTTATCAAGCCTGAAGTGAGGACAGTGGAGGCAAGATGTTTTTTTTTTTTTTTTTTTTGATCAAAATAGCAGAATCTGTGTATTATAGGACAAAGGACAGAGTTACTCTCTGGGCTCATTGCCTACCATCATTTATCCCAAACAAACTCCAGTATTAGTACAAGTGGGAAGAGCACTAAATCTTAGCCACTACACTTCACACTGAATACATTACTGTTCTGAGAAGGATCCCTGATTGTGGATGTGGAAAGCTGCAGAGATGATCATAAGTATCATCATACATGTTCCCCCCCTCAAAGGGGAATGAAGAGAACAAAGGAAAGGTGAATGAGGTAAAAGAACGACAGAAACAAACAAACCTGTTACCTGTTTGCTATCCCCTCCTCCAAGAGTTGAATTACTTGCTTATAGTTGGTAACTACATGTTGAGATAAACCTATCAGATTTGCAAGAGGGACAAAAGAAATTAATTTTTTGAGAAAGTTTAATCTTTTCCTGTCCTTAATTCATTCTCATTTCATAACACCTGATGGAGAAGAATGAGAGAACTTGGCTAAATTCATTCAGATAATAAGTCAACAAAAATGTACTAAAAGCTACTGTCAGTATTGTGACAGGGTCTGGGGACATAGATCTCTGCCCTCACAGAAATTATGGCCTAGAATTCGTGGACTAGCTATTATGCTAACAACAATAATACTAATTCTTTTAAATTTTGCTGTATAGGTTAGTAGGAAAGTTTTTTTGTATTATTCTCCTTTGGCTGTCACAAAATTCTTGAGGTAAATAGGTTTATGTATCCTAGAAGGTGGCAGATTCAGTTTGGCAGACAAAATATATAATACACATTTCATCCCCCTATAGTTTACAATCATGAGTAGTTATACTGTAATTCAATATGGCCAAGTGTTACAGAAGTAGAAATGATAAAAAATGCTAAGGAGATCAGAAGAGAGGTTAGGGCAGGTTCCATGGAGGAGATGAGTCTTGAATTTGGCTATACTAGAATGAGTAGGCTTTAGACAGGTGATAAGGAGCTTAAGAGCATGGAAGTTATTCTTTATGGCTAGTTATTCACCAAATCACAAAGGATCTTTACAACTGTGTTTAAGAATCTCTGTATCTGAGATCTGGGATCAAAGTAACCTAATAGGCTCACTGCAGAATACAATTACACTAAAAATTGACACAGTAATTTTAACATTGACTGGATTGTTTATATTAAGAAATTATTGTTATTATTTGTGAGTGATAATGGTTTTGTGGCTTTTAAAAAAATCATTTATTTCTTTACGGCTACATATAAAATATTTATAGATGAGTAAGTCAGGAAGGTGTCCACCCTGCGGGGGAGGAAGGGCAGCATACAGTATCACAGCTCAAGCAAGGGGAGAAGAGTGTGCATGCCAAAGGCAGCCAGCCTCCCTCTGGGGAGTCAGAGGTGGGGAGGGCACCCACGCAGAGGGAAGGCCCGGCACAAGAGTAGGGTAAGGAGGGTGACCACATATGCCTGGCACATAAAGTTAGAGTCTGAGTGGAACGAGGACAGCATCTACACAAAGGTAGCCCAGTGGAAGATATCAAAGCCCAGGCAGGGTGAGAAAGCTATTCACAGGGGAGGGAGGCTTGCCATGTGAAGTCAGAGCCCAAGTGAGGTGAGGAGAGGTATCTACACATACAGACTGGCCTAGCTAAAGTGTTAGAGAACATACCGGGTGACGTAGGCTTCCATATTGGTGCAGGGATGTGGCCCAGCACAGGGATATGAAGACCAAGAAAGATAAGGCAGGTACCTACATAGTTGGTGGGGAGTGGGATCAGGCAGCCCAACTCAAAGTTCTGGGGCTTAGGTATGGTGAGCAAGGCTTCCTATGGTGAAGTGGCCCAACACAGGCAGTCAAAGCACAACCATGTTGAAGTAGGCATCCATAGAAAGGGCAACAATGGTAACGGAGACTAATTACACATAAGGGAAATGATTGAATAAGTATTCCTCACAGTTAGATAAGGGAATCACAAATATGGAAAGGGAGAAGAAATATGGAAGGAACTTGGTTGCACTGGATTAGAATTGGAAATACTGGTGTGAACATATATTACTTAACTGTCCACTGAGAGGAATTAGGAGTTACAACATCCCAAAAGCAGTGAATATACCTAGCACCCAGATACTGGCTTCTAAATACCATTCTCCAATGGAAGTAACCAGGGTACCTAGGAGAAATGGTTGATTCCAGGCAAATACAAGATGAGTGTGGATGGAATATCTTGATGTGCCAGAAAGCAAGAAAGTGCTCCAAGAATGACAGTAATGTTTTAAAATGTCACAGAAGTTCACAAGGGGGATCCTATTGGCTAAATCTGGAACAAGTTGAGCATCAAAATAAAAATAATAATGACCCAGTGAATAAAATGGAAAAGCATGAATCCATACCAACATAAATAAATAAAATGAATACACTGAAAACTTGATGAGGAATAGGCTATTTTCCATCGGGCAGATTCTGACTCATGGTGACCCTGCGTGTATCAAAGTAAAATTGGGCTCCTAGGGTCTTCAATGGGTGATTTTTGTAAGTTATCCATAGACTGGTACCAGTTCTCAAATTGTTTATAATGGGATAAATACAGAAATTAAGATTGTTAGAAACTTTTACAACAATTTGACACAGTAATTTTATAACTACTGAATCTAGAAATAAAAGATTTTGATTTGTAATTAATATCTTTTCTTTTTCATTTTTCAAGTAATTCACCTTTATTTCATAAAAGGTATTAGTATGTCATGAATTAAAATTTTTTTTTTTTTAAAATTGGTCCTTCACTACGGATAGTTTGAGAAGTACATGATAAAGAATACCTATTTAAAACAAAAATTATTGCAAACATCATACTTACTGTTAAAATGCTAAATGCTTTTCCTTGGGAACAAGACAAGATACGGTTACCATTTTTAAAAACACTGCACTAGAAATCCTAGTCAGTGCAGAAAGGCAAGGGGGAAAAAGGGCGTAAGGATTTAAAAAAAAAAAAAAAAAAAAAAACTCCTGTTATCTGAAGACTGAGTACATGTAAAACACAAAATAATTTTTTCAGAGTCCTAACTACCTACCCCAGCATCTCCTGCTCTGTACCTGTCTCTCAGTAAAATAAAGGGCAAAGCAAAAATACAATACTGTTTTTTGTCTCACTTAAATATCCCTTTACTATAGCCTTTGGTCTCTCATGTGTGCTTAGGGGGGGGCCCTTTACATTTCAGATTTCAACTTAATCCCTCATCTAATTAATAAGCAAACTTCTTTTGGAAAGTTGTCCTTTCCTTGGGAGCTCTGGTGGCATACTGCCTAAGGCATTTGACTGCTAACCAGAAGGCTGGTGGTTCAAACCCACCAACCACTCCTCAGAAGGAAGATTGGGCAATCTACTTCCATGGTGATACTGCCTTGGAAACCCAAGGAGGAATCTATATGCATCGGATTTGACTCAACAGTAGTGAGTTTGAGCTCCTTTCCTTGGATTTAGGTAGCTATCAAGTTTCATCTCACAATTCTGAACTGGAACTACAAGTTCTTTAAGGGCTGGAACTGGGATTTGTATATATGGCATGGCATCCTAAAGAGTATCTAGTAGTCACTCAGTAAAACCCTACAGAATTGGTTTGAAACCAGAAACCACTTTCTATGTTGGAGTCAAATTCACAGAATCCATATAACAGACAGACCAACAGCTAGATATAGATGAATAAATAAATTCTTTAAATTTTTTTTTTAAAAATTGCTATAACACAGTTCATTGTGACTATTTAGGTCCTACCTTCCAAGGTTGGTTCTAAACTATTTGAACTCATGGCTCCTTCACTAAGAAATGGGAGGAATGTCCACTTATATCTTTAATATTTTGAGAACGTCCAGATTGGCTTCAGGAAACCTATAACCTCAGGACCTAAGAGACAGTGCTGACTCAATTTATTTCCTATCAAACACCTCTTGCCCTCTTTTCCTTGCTCACTCCCCCCACCTCACCCCTACCCTAAAGGTTCATGACATAAAGGTATCAACAATAAAGTACCTAAATTGCAGCTTGAACCCTGGATTTTAATCCTGAGCCTGCCACTAATCTTGGGTGTATGACCCAAGCTGTATGACCTTGAATGAGTTCTTATCTTCTCTGGATTTCATACACTAATCAAAGAATCTATGGTCCTAGGTCTCCTCCAGACTTTTAATGTACAACATTCTGTCCAACTCCTTTCAACCCAATCCCAGCAAGGTGCTAAGTTCCAAGTCTACCCCATTTAGCTGTACAACTTTGGGCAAATACCATAACTTCTTCTACACTTAATTTGATCTTCTATACAGTGAGGACACTGCTACTCACAAGGTTTTCACGGCCAATTTTTTTCAGAAGTGGATGGCCCCAACCTTCTTCCCCAGAAGCTGTCATTCAAACAAAGCAAGGGGATACTGCATGGCTTAAAATCAGGAAGGGTGTGTGTCAGGGCTGAATCCCTTCATCATATTTATTCAATCTGTATGCTGAGCAAATAATTTGAGAAGCTGGACTATATGAAGAAGAACATAACATTAGGATTGGAGGATGACTCATTAACAGCCTGTGATACACGGAAGACACAACCTTGCTTCCTGAAAGTGAAGAAGACTTGAAACACTTACTGATGAAGATCAAAGACTACAACCTTCACTATGGTTTACTCCTTAATGTAAAAAAAAACAAAAATCCTTACAACTGGATCAATAAGCAACATCACAATAAATGGAGAAAAGATCGAAGTTGTCAGGGATTCCATTTTACTCGGATCCACAATCAACACTCCCAGAAGCAGTAGTCAAAAAATCAGACATTCACAAAAGGACAAATATTGTATTAGTCCATTATTGTAAAAGTTAAGGAAAGGTTTATATATTGGAGGACATTTTCTTTGTTGGTTACCAGGGGTGGGA